TTTATGGAAACAAATGAGAAACATGTCAACCAGTAAAACTCACTTGAAATTTGGTTTGGGATGTGTACAGCATAAAACTGCATGGACAGTTGTCCTGGACATACCCAGACCCTCAGCAGCTAACTGGAGGAAGGGATTTGGGCCACTGGACAGAGTAGGCTCTGACGCTGACAGAGTTGCCTGATTTTGAAAGTTGGTGCCTTCCACTCTGTTTTTAAAATATGTGTTTTGCTATTTTTAACCCATGTTTCATATAAAAGTTGATCTGCCAGCCACCGTTTCACAAACTACTATGCTTCTGAGAAACAGAACCCTTTAGTTGGACAATTACAGGTTACCAGCGATAGAACTGTAGAAGATATTATCTCATTAGACTCTTTTTGAGTCTTTTTATTTTTGTTGCAATACATGTATACTATATAATCAGAAAAGAAAAACCTTCCACTAACAAGAAAACCAGTCATTTATAGTCAGATACATATTCTAGCATCTTTCTTCTCAAATACAGCACAATAATACACCAATTCCCAACAAAGAAAAAAAAAAAGAATTTTCTGTTTTCATGGCAGCCCTGTGATGGTGACCTTCTGACCAATGATTTTCCCCTGCAATACAGGCCTCTCAGATGAAGGTGGACCCAGGTCAGAAGGGGTACCAAAGGCTAAATCAAAACCCCGGAAGCGGTTAGTAGAAAGCCAAGGAGGCCCCAAGCCAGGAGCAGTGAGATCATCAAGCAGCGACAGGTAAAGAAGGGGAGAGGCCTCTGCTCAGGGTGGTGGCCCTGGGAGTCACAGCACTTCCCAGGAGGCCCTTTTTGTGGATTGATGATGCACAGGTGGCCACTTTGGCCAGCCAGCAGCCAGTTCCTTTCTAAGGGTCTCCAGAGAGCACAGCCTGCCAGGGAGGGGGCTAGACAAATGGGCAGCCTCACTAGCAATCAAACAAGTGCTCATTAAAATATATTAACAGGCTTTTTTCCCTCATTAGATTGACAGAGATTTTTTTAAAACAGAAATGCTTAGTAAGACTGCACAGAAACAGACACTCTCCATCCAATACTGGTGACACACAGTACAGCTTCTCTGAGTGGAAGGTCGGTATCACATGTCCATGCTCAGTTGCTGAAGCACGCTGATTTGTCCCATAAAATCTCTGCTGTCCTTCAAGCCACATCATGCATGCTTCTGTGTGGAGGGTAATGGGGCATGTGTCCAAACTTCATTCATTCACCCAACACACATTCTTGGAACACCCTGCACTGAGCTGGGTGTTGGGATATGAAGATGACTAAGCCCCCATCTGTGTTTTCAGGGCCTTCACAACCCACTGGGGAAGCCAACAAAGGCCCAGACAAGAGGGGTGCCATCCAGCCTACCCTTGGGGCAGGGAGGGTCTTCAAATATCAGAAAAGGCAGAGCCTCCATTCATAAATCATAATCCAAGGTCTACCAACAAGGCCCCTGCCCTCAGGGACTTTATATTCCAGTGTAGAGAAACAGATGATAAACCTGAAAATACGTAAGCAAATTAATTCATTTCAAATAGTGACAAGTGCTATAAAGAAATTTAAAAGAGTCAGTGTGGTGACTAACACACTGTAATCTCAGCACTTTTGGGAGGCCAAGGCAGGAGGATTGCTTGAGGCCAGGAGTTCAAGACCAGCCTGGACTACATAGCAAGACCTTGTCACTACCAAAAAAAAAAAAAAAAAAAATTAGCCAGGTGTGGTGGTGTGTGCCCGTAGTCCCATGTACTCGGAAGTCTAATACAGGAGGCTCACTTGAGCCTGGGAGTTGGAGGCTGTGGTGAGCCGTAATGGTGCCACTGTACTCCAGCCTGGGTGACAAAGTGAGACCCTGCCTCAAAAAAAAGAAAAAGAAAAAGAAGTGATGAGATGGCAGGTAGAGGGTCTACTTTGAGAGACTTTTTGAGAAAGTGGCATTGGGCTGAGCTTGGGATGAATGATAAGGAGCTAGGAGAACAGGTTTTCTGACAGTGAGAGCCCAGAGACCTTGTGAGAAGAGCCCTGAAGCAGGTCCAGCTTTGCTGGTTAAGAGACAGAAGGACGAGTGGATGGACTTGAGCATAGAGATTGGAGGCAGCAACAGTGAGGCCTGAGGCTGAGTGAGCAGAATGCGGGCCCAGGTGGGCTTTTGCAGGCCAGGAAGTATTTGTTGAATGCATGAACTCCCTGAGTAGAAACCAATTTTGGTCAAATTAATTCTGAAGCTATTGAGAGAGGAACTGGAGAAAATAGAGTTGTGGGAGGTGACCTGGGAGGCTGAAGGGGTCAGCAGGGCCAGGTCCAGACCCTTGGGTGTGAATAGGAGTTTCAGCTTTATCCTTAGGCCCTGGGCAGGCATGGGAAGGTTTTAGGCATAGAAAAGTAGGTAAATAATGCCTCACAAACACCATGTTTCACATACCTGGCCTTTAATCCTCACAATAACCCATGAGGTGATGGG